TTAACCAGCACTAGATGTCCCTAGGGCCAAGGACTAGGTTTCAAGACTAAGACCTAGGTTTAATTCTGTCTATCTGCTTGGGCAGGAGATATGTATCTCCAAAATGGGCTCTTTGGAGTTAGGGTAATGACAACACAAGTGTCTTTTCAGCTGGATGGTGGTGGCACACACCTTTAATCCCAGAACTCAGAAGGCAGAGGCTGGCCTAATGACCTTAATTTGATCCTTGGAACCCACAGGGTGAAAAGAAAGAACTAACTCCTGCCTGTAATTTGTTATCTGGTCTCCACTTGAGTACCATGGCAATGCACCCCCCATACACACTCACTCATACTCACCTCACTCATTCTCAGTAATTAAAGGTAATAAAAATAAATTCAGAATGCATCAGAGACTTGGGTGTAAGACCTGAAACTTTGAAAGTGCCAGAGGAAAATACTTCAAGATAAGGCATAGTGATCTCACACCTGGAATCTAGCATCTGGGAGTCAGGGGCAGGAGAATTTCTGAAAGTTTAAGGTCAGCCCGGTCTTCGTAGAGAATTCTAGGCCAGTCAGGGCTCCATAGTGAGATCTTGTCTCAAAAAGAAATGCAGCACCCACATGGTGGCTCACAACCATCTGTGACTCTAGTCCCAGAAGATCTGAACTCTCTTATGGCCTCTTTAGGAACCAGGCATGCAAGTAGAGCACATACATATATACATGCAGGCAAAACACTCATACATGTACAATAACATTAAATAAATCTTTTTATCCATTTTTGTACATTTTATTTACATTTATTATTTATTGTGGAGGGGGAGCATGTCACCGCTCACATGTCAATATCAGAGGACAACTTGTAGAGTTTGGTTCTCTCCTTTGACAGTGTGGTTCCTGGGGATCAAACTCAGGTCACTGGGATTGGCAGCAAGTGCCTTTACCTGTTGAGCTGGGCCATCTCACCAGACCTAATTTTTTTCTCAAAAAATTATCTTTGGCACAGCAGAGGAATTAATCAACATAGTGCAGTGATACCAGATAGGAGATTAACATCTAAGACATATAAAGAACTTTAAAAAGAAACATACACACAAACCCATGAGTTCAAAGAATGGGATGATGAACTGAACAGTTTGTAAAGGAAGTGAAAATGGCTATTGAATACTACAAAAGTGTTCAGCATCCTTTACTGTCCTGAAAATTAAGAGTCTTGAGATTCCATCTCACCCCACTCACAATAATTATCATCAAGAAATCAAAAGACAACAAATGCTGATGAGAATGTGAGGAAAGGAACACTGTTATCAGCTGCTGGTGGCACTGTAAACTGGTAGCCCCATACTGGACTTTTACTCAGCCACAAAGAAAAGGGAATTAATAATATTTGTAGGAAGGCTGGGCAGTGGTAGCACACATCTTTAATCCCAGCACTCAGGAGGCAGAGGCAGGTGGATCTTTGTGAGTTGGAGGTCAGCCTGGTCTACAGAATGAGTTTCAGGACAGCCAGAGTTGTTACACAGAGAAACCCCCATCTCAAAAAACCAAAAAAAAAATGTAGCAAATGGATGGAACTAAAACTCATTAAGTAAAACAAGTCAAATTTAAAAAGACAAATACTCGGGGCTGGAGATGTGTCTCAGTGGGCAGAGTGCTTAGTTAGCATACACAAAACCATGGGTTCAGTCCTCAGAACCACACAAACCAGGGTGTTGTCTAAGGAAAAAGCACAACTCTCACCTCAAAGGATATACAAGATAGTTTATTTTTTATCCAAATATGAATGACCATGGCCTGGGAACATAAATTTAGGTTACCCAAACTCCATGTTCCAATGCAGAAATTGTTTCATGAAGCTTTCATATAACAAAGACTCATAAATCAAGGCACTTCTGAAATACACTAGGTGGGCTGGTTAAAGCAAAGCAGGTGAGTCTCTGTTGTAGACTTCAGATTCTATTGGAGTATATTCTTAGCCTTTTGGTTGGTGGAAGCTAGGGAGGAAGGCAATAAATGGCTATTAAGAGGGCCAAAGACAGCCCATGAAAATTTGACTCTGGACTTCGAATATTCCAAACTCTCTACACTCACGGAAGATCTACTCAGATTATCAACTGTGCAGAAGGCTCAGCAGCAAGTGCAGCTTCTTTCTAAGAGCCTTCACTTATAGATCTGTGTTGGGAACCAAAGATCTCAGGGCTTGGCATGAGATCCTAGGCCATTCTTGGCCGGCCACATAGTTGTATATTAACCTTTACATAGCAGCTCCTTAGAACCTCAGCTCAAGAAAAGAAATAACTTGACCCAGTCCTCCACCCACAGGCTCAGTCACCTAGGCAACCCTTTCTGGACCTCTTACTCGTGAACTCTTTACCTTGCCAAACATCCTCTTTGTGACTTCCTAATATCCTGCCTACACTAACACCTGGTGCACAAACAACCCATTCTGCTCCTCCCCATATCCTGCTCTGCTGACTATATAAGCTAGCCTGAGAAAAATAAAGTATGCCACTTGATCAGAATCCTGTCTTGTGGTCGTTCTTTCTGCGTCCCTTGTCCCCATTCCCTATCCCTGACTCTCTTGCCCCAGGTTGACGTTCTGCAGGTTGGGACAGATCTGTAATCTCATCACATTGGAGGTGAAGGCAGGAAGATCAGAAGTTCAGGGCTACATACACATCAAGTTTGAGATCAGACTACCCTGTCTCAGACAAACAATAAAGAAAGACAGGCTTATCTTTTCTCTCATATTTAAAAATTAGATTTAAAATTGTGTCTTGTGTGTGTGTGTGTGTGTGTGTGTGTGTGTGTGTGTGTGTGATGAAACTAGAAAAGGGATCACGAGAGGGGTGAGAGCATGATATGTATGGTGGGAGGGTAATGAAATATATGTGATATGAAAGCAGCAAAGAAAACTATTTAGGGAGAGGGAACCAGCCAGAATATGGGCAGAGGGCATGGTGGGGGTAAAATAAATTTTTAAAATGTTCATATTAGTCAAGTGGTAATGGCACATGCCTTTAATCCCAGCTCTCTGGAGGCAGAGACACACAGATCTCTTATGAGTTTGAGGCCAACCTGGTCTACAGAGCGAGTTCCAGGACAGGCTCTGAGCTACAGAGAAACCCTATCTTAAAAAACCAAAAAAGGTACATCTTTTCATATGTATGAAAAAGCCAAAATGAAAACCATTAATTTAAAATTTAGTGGGAATATGTTTTAGTTTTTATTGCTTTGAAGAGACACCATGATCACAGCAATTTTTTTTTTTTTTTGGTTTTTTGAGACAGGGTTTCTCTGTGTAGCTTTGGAGCCTATCCTGGCACTCGCTCTGGAGACCAGGCTGGCCTCGAACTCACAGAGATCCACCTGCCTCTGCCTCCCGAGTGCTGGGATCAAAGGCCACCAACGCCCGGCTGACCACAGCAATTATTTAAAGATTTATTTATTTATTTATTTATTTATTTATTTATTTATTTATTATGTATACATTGTTCTGTCTGCACGCCAAAAGAGGGCAGCAGATCTCATTATAGATGGTTGTGAGCCACCGTGTGGCTGCTGGGATTTGAACTCAGGTCCTCTGGAAGAGCAGCCAGTGCTCTTTCCCTCTGTGCCATCTCTCCAGCCCTGACTATAGCAAATCTTATAAAAAAATTTAACTGCCGTAGCTTACTTACAGTTTCAGATGTTCAGTCCATTATCATCAAATATTTTTTCCTGGCTCAGCTTGCTCCCTTTCATTATCTATTTTCATTAGAATTGCCTCTAATATCCACATGACAGAGTATATACTAGGCTGTTTTGAGATTTCTTCTGCCAATGGAATTAATCCAAAAGTCTTCACTTTAGCCTCAGGTAGACTCTTTGGAGAAGGGCAAAAGGCAGCCAATTCCTTCACCAAAATATCACAAGAATGATTTCTATGCAACATACTAAATTTTTTCTCCTCTGAAACCTCTTGATCCAGCCCTGGACAGTTCATCAAATCATAGTCAAGACAAATGTCTTCCAGCTCCTACTAGTATAGCCCATTAAGCATTGCTTAAAGCATTCCACTGCTTTCCATACCCAAAGAATCAAAGTCAATATTACTCCATACAGTGTCATGGTCAAAACTATCACAGCAATGCCCCAGTCCCTAGTACCTGTTATGCCCAGTCTGCAAGACCCCCAAAAAGGCCATCAAGGAGGATGTTGCCGACTCACCAAAAAATAAGTACAAGGTTTCCTTTAATGGGATACAAGCCACAGCAAGGCCCTCATCCAGCAAGCTTACCCAACAGCTTCGGGAAAAGGCCCCAACCCTCTATTGCAGAAAGCTTATAAAGGCAAAAAACAAAACAAAACAAAACAAAAACAAAAAAACCATACAGTTGGCCAAGGTTAAACAAAGTTAAGCAGAGGTATGGGGATGGCAAATTGGTTAGTCATTTATTTTGGGAGGGGACTGAAGAATTTCTGGAATTTCTATCGCCTTATCTCCAGGTACGCTCCAAGTCAGGCAGTTACAGTTATCTGTTCATCGGAGGACAAAGAGTTAACATTTGGCATTGACATAGCTTGGGGGTAGATTCCTTTCTCCAAGAACTGGGGGTTTAGGCATGAGCTCTTTGTCACATACACAGGTCAAGGGTTACTAAGCAGGCAGCATGCTGTTCTGGCCTTTCAGTACCAACTTCATCTTAGTTAGGATTTTTATTGCTGTAAAAGGACACCACGACCAGGATACTTTCATAAAGAAAGCACTTAACAGGGGTGGTCTGCTTACAGTTTCAGAGATTCAGTCCATTATCATCATGACAAGGACCATGGCAGCATGCAGGTAGATGGGGTGCTGGAGCTGAGAGTGCTACATCCTGCAGGCAACAGGAAGTCAACTGACAGTCACACTGAAGGGAGCTTGAACAAAAGAGGCCTCAAAGCCCACCCCCCACAGTCACATATTTTCTTCAAGAAGGCCATATATCCTAATAGTGCCACTCCCTTTGGGTCCATTTTCTTTCAAGCCACCACAGCATACTTACCTGGCAGAGGAGGTACCATGATCAGAAAGGTGGTTTTTCCCAGGTTGAGGCTTATCCTTTGCACTCTGATGAGCTGACCTCCGGGATTTCCCCAAATTCAAGGAAACTCAGCTTCATAATTTGTGGTAGTGGGGTAGGGGACTGTGTTCTCAATTTTTCTATTTTAAAAGAAAAAAATTAGCCAGGCGTTGGTGGCGCACTCCTTTAATCCCAGCACTCGGGAGGCAGAGGCAGGCGGATCTCTGTGAGTTCGAGGCCAGCCTGGTCTCCAGAGCGAGTGCCAGGATAGGCTCCAAAGCTACACAGAGAAACCCTGTCTCGAAAAACCAAATAATAAATAAATAAATAAATAAATTAATTAATTAAAATTAATGGAAAAAGGATGTACTCCCAGAATGTGAGAGGTGGAGGAAGGAGAATTGGGAGTTCCAAGTCATTCTCAACTACAGCCAGCCTGAGCTATAAGAGATCTTGTCTCAAACAGCTACAACAAAATAAGAGGGGAGGAATGGTCAGGTCTGTAAGAGCTAACTCCTAGGAGTGGAAAAATAGGAAGGGAAGAGGATTAACTCTAACCCTGGGGGAAAGGAAAAAGATCTTTCTGAGGCCCTAGAATTGTCCCAAGAAATCTAACCCAATTCTACTTGTATGCAGATTCTCTTATCCCTTCTTTCCTTTTCCCTAAGGTATCACAATTTCCTCTAGACTCAAAGATCTTTAGAGTTCCATGGGGATCCAAATTAGTTCTAAAGGAAATGCCATGACAAATATAAAATGTTCCGAGTCACTTGGAACTTGGAGAATGATAAATTAGTTCTAAACTAATAAATTAAAAGCTAAAACAATGTATTTATATACAATCGATAAAACACTGATAACTTGGGAACTGATTAATAAAGCAATATAACTTGTAGATAGGATATAGCTCAGGAGTTGAGCCCATATTTAGCATGTGTGAAGCCCTGGGTTCAACTCCTAACACAATCACAAACAAAAATATATTTTGAACAACTTTTGAAACAAGAAAAATGATAAGTGGTAACAGCATTTGTACTGGTTGTTTTTTGCTTTGTTTTGTTTTTCTTTTATTTATTGTCAGCATGCTAGAAGCTAGAATCCTCTAGGAAGAGGATCCTTAACTGAGAAAGTGCCTTTAGCATGTTAGCTTGGAAGCAAGTCTGTGGGGCACTTTCTCCTTTTTTCAAAAGTAATATTTATTGGGCTAGAGAGATGGCTCAGCAGTTAAGAGCACTGCCTGCTATTCCTGAGGACCTGGGTTCAATTCCCAGCACCCACATGGCAGCTCATAATTGCCTATTGTTATTGTTTTGTTTAAAAAGAAGAAAAGCGAAATGCTGAGACATGAGACATGTTGACTATAAGTTTATTATAAGGCCCGGCAGAGTAGGAAGACTAAGAAGAGGAAAGGAACAGGGATAATGGCTGACTGCCATGGCCGGTCGCCATAGAGAGCTCATAGGTGAGAGAGAGAGTAGAAAGGAAGCTGAGAGGAAACAAAGTGGGGAAACAGAGAGAGGAAACAGAGAGAGCGTAAATGGGCAGGGACCTGTCTTTTAAAGGGGTCCTCTGCACCT